AAATAGATATATCATAAAATAAACACAATCTCTGGACTTTGACCCCCCCCCCTTTGACTTTGAATGCTCGATGTTTCAATTTGAAAGTAACTTATTGTGTGTCCCATATCCGTTTTAGTGTTGGTGTGCCCTACATCATTTCTGAAAACAAAATGATTTATACCTTTTTCTTGGATAATTAAAGCATAATAAACTATTTAAAAAATCAGGATTTTTTAAAAATATTAGTTCTAGTGTAAACGCGGAAGAATAAAATGTATAGTACATCTGGACATGCGAATAATTGGTCGAATTTTAAAAATGTGTACCCCACATCCCGGTTTTTTCTCACTTGTTTTCAAACTGTGTCGAAGTGTTTGGAACAATAAGATTCTATCACGAACAAACGTACATTGTCTATTGTAGTTGACGTTCTTTGGCATACTTTAGGCAGGATACTGATTTAATATTCATTCTTTATAAGTGCAAAAATATCAACTTCTTACATCGAAGCGGGGCATTTGTCCTCCATTTTTGTGTGTCCTAATCCCGTCCGATGACGTAGATTCTCCGCCGTGATATTTCACATTTATTTATTTGAAAATATTTAACTTTTTTACTCTTACGCTTGACCTTGGAGTTTGGCTTGCATCTGAGTAACTTTTTTCTTCGCTGTGAGCTGTCATATGGGGGCATCCTTTTTCACAAACACATCTTGTTTTTTTTTTAATTAAAAATGACGACTTACGCCCTGAGGATGGAGATTAGGCAGACCCAGGCCGACAGAGTAGCAATCCAGGCCGCCCTCCACTGACTCTCACACGGGACGTAGTTCAGGGGGTTCAAGGACGCTGTAGTCCCCATCAGCATAACCCAGGTCACGTAGTTAAACGGAATCAGGAAGTACCGTAACCGCTACACAACAGAGTCATGGAAAATAATAATCACATTTAGAATCAGGAAGTACCGTAAACGCTACACAACAGAGTCGAGAAAAATAATAATCACATTTAGAATATACTGTAAAATGACTACAAGTAATTTTCATTGGCGTTTAATATTCGTTACTAATTTTCGCTGTTTTCGAGGTCAAAAGAGACCCATGCATGAATTCATGATCAGCACCTAATTTAAACATATAATGTTTTACTTCTCAACACTCCTCAAACCACACAATCAAATCCCCATACGTCAATATTTCTTCTCAAACCTCGTAAATTTGACCCCACGAAAATATGTGATTCTATAGTAAGTGGGAAAAAATAAATTACTGTTGGGCTTAAAGTTTATAAAAATAAACATACACCTTTCGTTAAAAAATGAAATCACAACAGAATTTAATTGTATATGTATTCAGAAAAAGAAATGGAGAAATAGAAAAATCATATCGTATTTTAACTACTAGTATTTTTGCAACTGATCCAAAATCATGTTTTTTGCTCAAGGGCATTTTTTGAAATGTCAAAGTTTACTGGACACCTGAGTACTAAAGTATGAAAATCATGTCCTGGCCGTAACTCTGAAACTTGATATTCAAGTGAATATAAGATTGGTACATGGTTGTTTGTTTTGACTGACTATAGCATAAAAGAATATTTAGATTAATTAATATGATACGTTACCCTTGCGTAGATACTGATTGCCTCCCTTATATAAAAGAAGAGCATTATGGCGAAAAGCAAGGACAACACGATCGTGAGACCCTCGTCTTCTATGTAGATGTTGGAAATCTGGCCATACTGAAAATAAAAACAGATCTTGTTATACAATGTGGACATCTCACTTCACCACCTTAATTGTTTTGAAAATCTTCTATAGAAGTTAAAGGTAATTTAAGTAGATCTTTACTTTTAATAAAATATAATTTCTTTTATTCATTTGAACAATACATGTGTATTTCAAATTATATAACCAATTCTGCTCAGCAGTTCAATATGAATTTGCCCCGTAATATTTCTGTTCTAACGTTTCACACCTGAATATAATAGTTGACCAGGGTCTGGTTCGCTAACTGTGTGGCGTTTAGATAGATCGGACACCGCCGGACACTGTCCAGTAGATTGGTGGTGATTTTTGGCATGGTGATGCAGTAGACATTGATGAGGGTTAGATAGACCACGAACAGCAGTACGTTCAGGTAGTACACGGGCCGACCAAACTTCTTCCTAAGTAAATCATTACAGGTAAGTATAGATTTTAAGCTCATAATTCTAACAAAAATGTCAAAATCTGTCTACTAGTTTTGCGTGTTCTTTTCATTTTTCAGGAATGTGGGAGAGAGCGAGAGCTGCTGAAGAAATAAGCGGCATCTAATTTGACGTTACTAGTAGGACAGATTCAAACCTCAATTTAGTTTACCATTTTAACAATAGGCACTGTTGAACTAAAGGATGTGTCAATAACTCCTCTCGGCCATGTTTCACCATGGTCTGCAAAGTACAACATCCATGTATATTATCCTATTTCAAAAAGTACTTTTATTTACTAAGATACACTGCCGAAGTATAATATACTTTTATTTACTAACATACACTGCCGAAGTTTTGCGTTATTGGGTCTTATTTATCTTATAAAATTAGTCTGAAATGTTCTCTTTAGAAATGCAAATATGTCTTTTAAACGCATGCAATAAATTTTCACTCAACAAAGAAAATAATTTTGATAATTAATTCGATCAGACGCTATTTTCTAAAAATCAAATTTTCCTTACTTACCTCGTATGCAAAATATCTTCGCTCTTTACACATTACGTCTTCCGGTCCTGGGTCAATAAACCGGAAGTCGAGTTTTTGTGTAAAGTCTATGCTATCCGGGAAATCTCCGGTAGATTGTATACAATTCTCCAAAACAATCTGTAATACAATGACACACATAAAGACAGAAATTGATATCAAGTCTTTTATATTAAAATTTACAATCTCTTGTCGATTTGTGTACGTATGATTTACCAAAAATGAGTCAGGACATTTCTGAATCATTGCGTCCACCGGTGTTTTACCACAAGAGTCCCTTAGACCAACGATGTCCACCCATCTATGTCAAAAAAGTTACATTAATTCTCTAAATTTGATCAGAATAATAAAGAAATGATAATATATTACAGTACGGCTAACCGTTTTGATTTCATAAAGGCTACAGCTACTTCGGAGTGTCTGTTTTCTAAGGCTAAATCGAGCGGGGATTTCTCGTTACTATTCCTGGATAATACGTCTGACTTCCTGTCCAGTAGAAGTTGAACACATTCAACATGGCCTTTGCTAGATGCTATGTGTAATGGAGTATTCTAACCAAGAAAAATAAAACAAATGATGACGAAATTGCAGAGATATAAATGTTCTGTTCTATCAATAACAAATCAAAAGAGTAATAAAATGATATTGTATCATCTGTAATTGTTGATTTTTCAAAAAAGGTAATACTCTGCACAAGAGAATAATTTCCTTTTAATGTTTAAGGAACAATAAGGTTGAACATTTGTGTCCTCTACAAAAATTTGAAATTTTCAATTTCAGATTTTTTGTAGAGGACATTTGTATCGTTTGTAACGTTTTCTTTTTCTTTTTCAGTACTGATATATGTAAATGTTAAACCAATTTTGGATGGTCACCTTTGCTTTATCCGCAGCGTTCATATCAGCATAATGATCCAACAGAAGTTTCATTATCTTCACATGACCTTCACGGGCAGCAGTACCTAATACGGTGCACAGGTTCTCGTCCCTGAAAGGTCAAAGGTCGTCATGCATGTAATCGATGTAATCACAATATACCAAGCTTTACAGCGATGTAAGAATCTTCCATTTGAAATTAAACGTATTTATTTTCAAAATACTGTCAATTCTTTGTATATATATATAGTAATTAACCTTCACCACCATCAGTATTGTTAGTGATTTGATCCTGTAATATGTAAACCTGTGTGAGATATCGGCCCCTAAAGATAGCAGAAGTTTGACTGTGCTGTATTGTCCTTCCTTGACAGCCAGCATCAGAGGCGTCTGTCCGTCCGAGTCGCCATCATTCAGTTCAGAACTGCTGGCGGTGTACAGCGCCTCCACGGCAGCCTCGTTATCGTTTCTAAAAATGCACAGGAAGTTACGAAAATAATTGCAACGCGTCAATTTTTTCTGACATTGAATGATTTTCTTGATAACTTACTCTGCTGCTATATGGATGGGAGTTTTTCCGTCCATGTCACGGACGTCTAGTTTACATTTATTATGTATCAAGGCTTGTAAAATCTGTAAAATGTCAATAGAAATGTTGGCATACATGGTGAAACCTAAACACCTAAACATGCATCTTTCAAAATTCGAAAAGAAAAATATTCTTTAAGCCAGCAATAACTTTATAACTTTTAGGTCGCATCGTAAATGATTTGTATAACTCATGCTAGTACCGCTATATTTCCAAGTTTGGCAGCATAGTGCGTAATCGTCTGCTCTGCGAAATCCAAAGCTTCGATCATGACACAGTCGCATTTCTAAAGAGCAAAAAACGACAAACTCATCCATTTAACGTTAACCAACTTTCTCCTCTCAAAACTATAACATTACAATGTTATTTCACCTATGAAAGATATGTTATAATTCTCACCTTTAAAAGGTACAACAGGACCTGAAGGTGGGCGTTTTCTACTGTCCAGTGGAGCGCATTCTTCATCAGATTGTCTACCGCTGTTATCTGAGCACCATTGGTCAGCAGGAACTCCACCGTCTCAAGGTGACCTTTCCAGCAGGCAAGAATCAACGGTGTCAGGGATTCTTTGGTTTTCTGGTTGATGTCCCCACCCTTAGGAGAAAAAAATTGCGTATGTTTCAAATTGTTTTGTCTCGGAGTAGCTGCTTAATGAGATCATTGAGACGTACCTTGTTCATTATTGCAGAGACCACCTGGTAACGATTATACAAACAGGCTCTAGAACGGAAAAAATGTATTTTAAATACATGCAGGCATATCTTTAGCTTTTCTAAAATCTTGGTTTGAGCGATACCATTACTATTTCTCATCTATCAATTAATGTTTCTTATTATACCCGCACTTTCTAAAGAAAGTTCGGGTATATTGTTGTTACTCATGTCCGTCCGTCCGTCCGTCCGTCCGTCTGTCCGTCCGTCTGTCACACTTTTCTTCCCTGAACTCCTCCTACATTTTACACAGTAGCTTAATCATCTTTTGGGAGATGGTTGGTGGGGTCATGTAGATGTGCAGTAAGGTTTTGGAATTTTGATTTTGCCCCGGGGGGTCAAATGGGGGTCGAAAAATGACGTTTTTTATGCAAAAAGCCCCGTCTTCCCTGAACTCCTTCTACATTTTACTCAGCAGCCTAACCAGCTTTTGGGAGATGGTTGGTGGGGTCATGTAGATGTGCAGTAAGCTTTCGGAATTTTGATTTTGCCCCGGGGGGTCAAATGGGGGTCGAAAAATGACGTTTTTTAAGCAAAAAGCTCCGTCTTCCCTGAACTCCTCTTACATTTTATTCAGCAGCCTAATCATCTTTTGGAAGATGGTTGGTGGGGTCATGTAGATGTGCAGTAAGGTTTTGGAATTTTGATTTTGCCCCGGGGGGTCAAATGGGGGTCGAAAAATGACGTTTTTTATGCAAAAAGCCCCATCTTCCCTGAACTCCTGGTACATTTTACTCAGGAGCCTAATCATCTTTTGGGAGATGGTTGGTGGGGTCATGTAGATGTGCAGTAAGGTTTCGGAATTTTGATTTTGCCCTGGGGGGTCAAATGGGTGTCGAAAAATGACTTTTTTAATGCAAAAAGACCCTTCTTCCCTGAACTCCTCTTACATTTTACTCAGCAGCCTAATCATCTTTTGGGAGATGGTTGGTGGGGTCATGCAGATGTGTAGTAAGGTTTCTGAATTTTGATTTTGCCCCAGGGGGTCAAATGGGGGTCGAAAAATGACGTTTTTTATGCAAAAAGCCCCATCTTCCCTGAACTCCTCTTACATTTAATTCAGCAGCCTAATCATCTTTTGGGAGATGGTTGGTGGGGTCATGTAGATGTGCAGTTAGGTTTCGGAATTTTGATTTTGCCCGGGGGGTCAAATGAGGGTTGAAAAATGACGTTTTTTATGGAAAAAGTCTTCCCTAAACTCCTTTTTCGTTTTAAACAGTCCTCTTTTGGGAGAGTTCACTCTTTTGAAATTTTGTTAAAACATCAAGGTCAAGCGGTAAAAAATCATAGCATGTTGGGAAACATCTTGTTATGGGTAATGTTCACTTGAAATGTGAAAGTCGAATCTCTTCTCAATGAAAAGGAAATACAACATTAATGAAAACTAAGTTAAACTTCAAGGTCAAGGTCACAGAGTCAAAAAGTCATGATACATTTGGAAAGGTCTTATCACAGGTAATATGAATGCCCTTTCATTTATCTTTCAAAATGATTAATTCAAAGCAATTAATTTGTTTATGAAATTAGGTCAAACTTCAAGGTCATGGGTAATAAAAATCGTAGTGTATTTAGAATGGTATTGTCCCATTTAATACTAATACACATGTTTAATATAAAAGTCCTGTCTCTTATCATTCAAAATATACGACCATGATGACCAATTGCAAGGTTAAATTTATTGTGACAGATGGGCAGATTGATAAACAAATGAGATTTAATGTACCCTACCTTAGCGAAAATGGGGGACAATAAATGTCTTTGCTGTTCTTGAGAAGAAGATTTATGTTAGAAAAAGTCCCCTGCATAGTTAAATGTAAATTGGTTGAAATTGGCCCAGTGGTTCTTAAGAAGTTAATGTGAAAAGTTTGCAGACAAACAGATGGACAACAGAAATCAGTACATTTCAGAAAACAGTATGCTTATAAATAGTTAATCAAGGTGCTTTGGGTAGCAAAATTAAGCTAAACTGGTATATCTAAACTGGTATATCTAATTCATCCGCAGAGCTTAGTATATTTTAATATGCACAACCTTTTCAACTCTTATCATAATTATTTTTTAAAATTTATATCACCATGTCTCATTCAAGGGAGAACTAGAGATATGACCAGATGTATATCTGTTGAATATAAAATATGTACATGTATACTGTGTTTTTTTTAGTAATTTATTTGTTTGTTGTGACAGCAACTGTTATGGCAGCTTTTGGCAAAGGTTGAAGTTTCTCAAATGTAAGTCAAACTCCAAGGTCAAGGTCAAAGGGTCAAAATTGTTGGTATCAAAGGGAAAGTCTTGTCACAAGGAATACACATGTGAAAAAAGAGAGAAATCCCTAGAACTTCCTCACCTGTTCAAAAGTTATTGCCAAGGTTAAAGCTAAATTGGGTTCAGCTCTAAGGTCTAGGTCAAAAATAATTATACCTGTTGAAAGTTCACAATGATTACACATGTTAGAGCATGAAAGTCCTAGTACCACCTGTTCAAAACTTAGGCCAAGTTTAAGGTATTTTTCTTGTAAAAGTGGGTCAAACTCCAAGGTCAAGAGATCAAGAGGTCAAAATTGGTGGTACCCATTAAAAGGTTTTGCCAAAAGAAATTTACCTATGAAATATTGAAGCCATGTGTATAGCCCAATCCACTTAAAACTTATGGGCAAGGTTAAAGTTTCTGTGGACAGACAAACATACATAAACATAGGAAACAAAATATGTATATATAGTCAAATGAAAAAATTTTCTACTATTATGGAGTCATAAGATCAATTGTCATTTCAGGTAAAGGGAGTCAGTGGCTAGGGAGATCAGACACCCCCCCCCCCCCTGGAATTAGCAGTTATTTAAATAATACTATGTACTGTAGAGAATAAAAATGACTTTGGACATCCTCCCCCTTAGAAAACAGGGACTCCACCATCATTGTTTTTATTATTATTTTTTATTTGCTTCTCAGGAAATCTTGGGCTGATTTTTTTGACTGAGGTGTGACACCCGACCCCCCTTTCTGAAAAAAAAAAATTCTGGATCTGCGCCTGTATATACTGAATGTCCGCAACGGGAGATAACTTGACAATGTGAAATTTGTCGACTGTGGCATGCGATGATCTTTGACCCTTTTTGAACTTCAACCTAACCATTTGCATTTATTTATTTTTATGCAATCTATACTAAATCTTGTACTTACCGAATGTCATAGGTCGTGACAACGAATTCATGAAATATAATCCATATAATCCAATTAAAACACAAATGATTTTAACTGACCACACTGCATCGTCAGCATACATGTGCTAAATAATCTCATTCGACAAACCTTTGCTGATTCCGTTTCCAGTATGAATCGGCCGAGGTGTGCCGAGAGGTGATATTTATAAATATGATAATGGGTGAGGCAAACCCAATGTGAATGTAGAAAATAAGATGTTCACACGTAAAACTGTTTAGTACAAGAACAAATTTCAAACTATCATAATAAACTATGTTTTAACATAACTTTGCCATCTAGGTCTATTTTTAAAAAATGTGAGAGTGAGAGAGAGTGTGTGTGTGTGTGGGGGGGGGGGGGGGAGAGAGAGAGAGAGAGAGAGAGAGATAGGCATTGACAAATTAATCGGGTTGTATTTTCAATGGGTTTTTTTCCCGACCAAGTACTAAAATCAGTTTGCACATTTTGATAAATTCATCAAAAACGCTTTGTACTAAAATAATATGTCGTTGAGAAAGTAAATTTAAAAAGTTCCAAATTATGGGCAAAATATTTATCTGAATCTAACTAAGTAATTTACTTCAATCATTAATTAAATTCTGTTATTTCAGACTGGTAATGAATTAAGTATTCAAAATACATATGTGAGGCTCATAGATCATATGGTCACCTGAAAATTTTATGTTCAATTTGACGAATACATGTACGGTGATAATTATAGAATTATTTTGACTTCTTCCTTGGAAAGTCCAATATGAAGGAGTGTGTATTTAGAGGCAAACAACATAGTGCGGGTATTACTGTCTCATGACAGCATCTAGTTCTTGATTTCTTGTTCTCCCCCTTTTTGTCTATATATATTTCTTTGTTTTCAGACCTTTGTAGTACATATACCTATGAATGGGGGTAAAAGAATCCTTATCCCGGGGCCCAACCGCTGCCCCGTGGGTCAATAACGCCTCTGTAATCTCCAAATGACCATTGATGGCGGCCAAATGAAGAGGGGTTTGTCCGGTCTCCTAAAGCCAAAGAAACATGTATTACTGACTGACATTCTTTTTTTCATAATGTCTTCATTTACAATCGTCTGTTTAACACAGCAAAACTGAATCAATGCTTCCATCTTTGGTATATTAGCAAATGACTTACGTTTTTGGGATCGGACTCTCCACCGTGTCTGATGATTTCTTGTACTGACTGCAAAAAAGGCAATTTATCTTAGTTTCCATTGTTAATTCTACAATAGTCGAATGGACATGTAAACAAGTATATTAGCAAGCACTTATCTATGCTGAAAATGATATGAGGAATGATAAAGTTTTTGTTGTCCCTGTTCACTCCCTGACGTCCCCTGTCGTTGTCCCTGACTACCCTGTCTACTCCCTGACTACTCTGTCCACTCCCTGACGTCCCCTGTCGTTGTCCCTGACGTTCCCTGTCTACTCCCTGACTACCCTGTCTACTTCCTGACTACCCTGTCCACTCCCTGACTGTCCTGTTTACTCCCTGACTATTCTGTCCACTCCCTGACTCCCCTGTCGTTGTCCCTGACGTCCCCTGTCGTTGTCCCTGACGTCCCCTGTCGTTGTCCCTGACTACCCTGTCTACTTTCTGATGCCCCCTGACTTTGACCCTGACTATCCTGTCTACTCCCAGATGTCCCCTTGTCGTTGTTCCTGACTATCCTGTCTACTCCCTGACTACCCTTTCCACTCCCTGAAGTCCCCTGTAGATGCCCCTGTATACTCCTGACCTCCCCTGTCGTTGTCCCTGACTACCCTGTCCACTCCCTGACCTTCCCTGTCATTGTCCCTGACTACACTGTCCACTCCTTGATGTCCCCTGACTCTGACCTTGTTATCACTGTCTACCCCCTGAATTCATACTACATGTATTCCTATCGTCCCTGTTTACTTTCTAATGTCCCTGACAAAGTCTCTGGCTTCCCCTGATATTTTCTCTTCAGAACAGGATGTTAAATATGTTTTTGTTGCCATTTAAGGTTTCATGAAAAAGAGAAATTAAAGCATTAGTTACCAAAACATTTTCTTTGAAATACTAATTTCTTTGTACTTTCTATGATTTGCAGTGATTGTTTAAGATTCTTAGCATTTCAGATTAATCTTACAGTAAAGAAATGCAAGTGAATCTGAAGAAAATTCTGCAGAAAGAAATGAATTAACTGCACCTTGTGAAGTCTGATGGCATGCATGGATTACATGTAAGAGAATTTCAGGGAGAGGCAGGGGATTGCCAGGGGATTTTTGGAATCTTAAGGAAGAGTGATTTCAGAAGTGTGGGGTAAGAATGAGGTATGGTTTTAATATTTGGTGTCAGGCTGTGGTTTGATTCTGACATTCAGTACCTTCACAGTCATGTTGTCGACAGCAATATGTAGCGCCGTACCACCCCACAGGTCCCTCTGATTCACCATTGCCTGAGCACTTGCTCTGCCGCTTTTCTTCATTACTATCAAAAATACATAATATAGACACGTGAAAAGTTAACACAAGAGGAGCTTATAAACAGAACAAGGATTTTTTAATAGTGGAAAAATTGTTTAACTTTTGATACCTATTTTCCAAATTTGGTTCATAATGTCAGTTAATTCTACTGCAGATGCAAACATGTACGGCGTGAGTCCATTTATAACCGTCGTTGTGACGTCAGCCCCACTGTTCATCTGTTGATATGAAATATTATTTGAAATACGAGTAAATGCATATTCATATAAATTTTGGAGATTCTTTCATCATATACAAACTTGTTTCTTTAAAATACAGTGTTTAAGATTTTTTTTCATTTAAGTCCTGTAGAATTACTCTTTTACCAGCAGTGTAGCTGTGGATTCGTGTTTCTGAATGATGGCCTCGTGTAAGGGAGTCATTTTGTCTTCGTCCCTGGCATTTATATCTGTCATTCCAGTATTTAAAAGAAGCTACAAACAGAAACATATTCATTGCTTATATACATAATGGTTATATTAATCTTCGTTTATATTTTGGGTTTTTTTTAATTTTAAAAAATATTTTTCACTCATGCATACACATTACGCGACGACTACTGGTAAATAACTGATTTTCATTGTTTTCTTGGTATGAAGAAACATACAAATTCATCATATCATCGATGCAAAGTTTCAAATACAAAACTCAGCACTTTTCACCACGAAATCAAATCCCCATTAACCAATATATCATTTTTCCTCTAAGGTTGAACATTTTACCCAATAAAAATATTTATTTTTTATATAATTATTTGTAATGTGATTTATCTATTTTGATAGTTTTTATCAATGCACTTACTTTTTTGATTGGCTTTAAAACAATTTTGTTTACAGATGTGCGCAAATATCTTCTTCTCTTTATTCAGAAACGTTAATTTTGGCATGAAAACGTGTACAAGTGATCGGGGAAAATATTTATCAAAAATAAAAGTTCTGATGAAAATGAAAAATTTTTGCAGACTACCTCCAACATTTTATCGCGGCCTCTTCTCGCGGAATGATGTAATGGAGTCTTTTGTTCGTTGTCACGGATCATGACGTCACATCCTGATTCTATTAATAGTCGACCAACATCCAAAGAATTATACTTGGCTGCTTCATGAAGGGGAGATATTCCACTGTCCCTATTTTTTTCGTTTATGTCTAAAAATAATATAAAGAGATCAGAAATTAAGGAGAATATAATCAAGGAATAATCATTTATCTCTTCATTTTAAGAGTAAAACAGGGGGTTAAGGGATATATTTTTAAAACATAATATATAAACATAACTTCTATGGAGAATTTTTTAACTATCAAATTATTTGAAATTAACAATGAAAAAAAATCGCCACACAGTTTCATGGATTAAATTTTTTTATGAAATTTTATTACGGGTTTTAAAATTGATGGACAGATGTATCCCTCTCCCCTCCGGGTTAAGACAGCAAAATGTTACAGGCCTAGTGATTCTCCGGCCACTTACCGGCTCCGTGGGATATCAACACACGTGCTGATTCGATCAGGTTGTACTTAGCAGCAATTAGGAGGAGAGTGTTCCCGTGGTAATCTCGTTCTCCCTTCACTTCCGGCTTTGTCGTCAGTATCCAGTCGAGAGCCTTAGTGCTACTATCTCGTATTGCCTATAAGTCAAAAACGAAAATAAGCTGAGTGATCAGAATGAAATTTATTTTACAATCTTAACAATGAATGCAGTGGTTGCATTAGATAAAGAAAAAGAATCGTAAAATTCATTGTCCTTTTGTGTGTATTATTTTTTCTTATTTTGTTTAATTTTTTGTGAAAAAAAAAAACATTTTAATTTATGATTTATTCATATTTAGCTATCCTTAAATATAACAGAACCCTTTGATATTTTGGTTTGTCCGTGTGTCTGTACCTGCCAGACAGACATATCTGTCAACATTTCGCCCGTCACGCTCTCTCCTCTCTTGTAGGCGGGGTAAATAGTGGACGCCCCCACCACCTGACGTAGTCGACTCTTAGATGGCGATTCCATCTGGGGACCCTCTATATGAACATATCCATTCGTTCTGGAAAAAAGACAAGATTACTGGTTCCATAATTTAGGTATTTATTACATTTGATTGATGATAAGTAACTTCTGTTTCTACAGGAGATATAGATAAACTGAAAGTTTGTAGAGGAATGACACCATAATAAGACTATATATCAGTGCAATGATGATAATGTGCATGTACATGTACCAACAATAAGATCTCGATTGTATTTCTTCTGAAACAGTTTAATTTATGTCAGTACTCTATAGCGGGAACCCTTGTAACATTTAATATTTGATATACACTTAAATATTAATTTCCAAGGCTCTAAGGCGTTAATAACTCTGCTGATAGCAATGTTTGGAAGGCATTTCAATTTCTGGATGTTGATCATTCATAACGAATATGACTGTTAAAAGCCATTAGCGATTATGTTTTTCTTTGGGAGAACCTCATCTCTAGGGTCTATGTAAACAATCATTTCATTTGTATTTTGCCCTGGGTTATGCCAATAAACGTTTTTATACGACCTGAAACATTTTCACAAACTCTATGACATTTCAGGAAGCATTTATATTTGACAAAAGACTCAATGATATGATAATAGGTGGACTAACACTAACTGAATTACTCACTGACGCATGTTTATATACAAGCCTGTGTAAGAAAATGAATGGATTATAAAGTCCACTTATAAAACCAAACATGCTATTAAATGAGAGATTGAGTGCTAGTCTTTACAGGTGGTGGACCATTTTATAGATTACATTTGCATTAATGATTAATTTGTTAATGATTTTCGTATTGTTTGATTTCTGAGGCTTGGTTTTCACTTCAGAAGCAAATGGCAGCTCAACTCTAAATTGTTAAATACACTTCAATTTCCATTTAACTGTCCTAACATTTGCAAATTTTATATCAAGACAGGGTGTTAGAATATTAATATTTAAAGTGATGACCATTACATTTCGGTTAATTGATAGTAGTGTTAAGTGTCGACGCCGATTTAGAGAATTTGGCATCAAAATAGCAGTATATTGTTAAATATTTCATTTATCCCATACCTGTTTATTTAATTAGACTTACTACGTTATTCCATTCTTATTTACGTCTGCAGCCTAGTTTAATATCATCATCTTTTTTTTTTAGCTATATGTACATTTCCTTTGAGGATATCCGCTCCTCAGCCAGGAAAAATAACTTTGATTTAAAAGTTTCAAGATGAGCTTAAAATTGAAATCTTTTTGTACAACAATTTTCATTTCATTTATCTCAGTATGATTCATGCTTTTTTAAAAACTTTTTTTGGACAATTTAAAAAATAAAAACGAAGTAAAGAACTTCTTACTGTATATTTTTAAAGATGTTCTCCGTAAGCCTTTTTACCTATTTATTACATTCTTAGTAATAAATACAGGGTTTTTGCATATGCGATATGGCTGACGTCACAATAGCCGTATCAGACCTGCAGGGCCGATATGGATTTGCGGGGCTCACATGGATTTACAGGGCTGATACGGATCAAAATCACACCCTTAGAAAATTAAACCTAAAAAAAACAGTGCTTGTGATCATACACATATTTTGAGGGTTACATAATTCTCTAAATATTAACTTTTTGAATGTCAGGATAATGTAACTGACAAATAATAGTAGATTTTTTTCAGATTGCGGATAGGGGATATTTGAAATAAAGTACTTGACTGGGATATTTGAAATAAAGTACTTGACTGTAGAATTTACAAACCCAAACCGTATGAGACAACACATACATTGTTAGAAGTCTGTGCATGATTATTAACTTATGTTCACAACTGTGTTCTGTATTTTATTACTAAGTATGTAATAAACATAATAAAACATACCATTTCTCATCACATCCTGTATCAGCCCTCGACCAATATCAGCCCTCGTACCTCTAGCTAATATTGGTGTCTCGGGCTGATACAGGGTGTGATATGGAAAAGGGTATGTATTATTCTCTATATATTTTTTTTAGATTAACTTGTTTTTGTTGATCAATGGGAAACTGCAAAGTTGGTGCTAATATTTGTGTTTCCCGAAAATATCTTTCAGATTTGATTATATTCTTTTTATAATATGATTATCATTAATAAACGAACTTTGAAGCAATAGTATGGGTAAATACACATTACTTCGTTAAGGAGTATAAATGATTTCAATTATCAACTGCTGATTTTCAGACCCTGGGGATGGGACTACCTTGAATTAATTATTTTTCTCATACTTGTCTATTGCAGTTAATGTTTGTGTCCAAAAAAAATTATTGTCTCCAAAACCACTTCTGACAACACACAAAGGAGATCGCAATTCGTGAAAATTAAGTCTTTATTCAAATACCGTAATTTGATTTCAATTAGTTTTATTTATTCGGGCTCATCTTCAAAAGTTTGTACAATTCTGAACATTATAATAGCTATGAAATCGATACATCCCTTCTGCGACGATAATGAAGCATTTCTAGAAATTCATTAACGGAACTGTTCAGCATGATTGCAGTCTGTTGACAAAATCTGATATCTAACATAATGATTTACCTTGTGAGTTGTTTTGTTTATACAATATGAAATTGATTCTCCCAAAGCATGCATTTTTGAACCAGACATTTCTATAATGAATATTGAAAGAAAAATTCAAAATAAAATTTCACCTATATTGACCACTTTTCTCTCTTTAGATGATTTTGTCTTAAAATTAAAAATTATGATTTGGTCGTCAATATAAGAACTCTACATATTTTGAATTTTTCTTTAAATAATCTTTTATAAAATATTCCTGCTCAGTTGAAAAATTGATTATAAATTAAAATACTACATGCGATGACAAATTTTTCTGTTACTTGTACAGTATACCCATATGTTTATGCTTCATGATCCAAATAAAACACCTTTTTGTTCTTCTTAACGACATGTATGTAAATACTCAATGTTTGATTTTTATTTTATGTTGAATCTTTGATTTGTGTCAATTTTGTGCATGTTAATTAAAATTTTAATTTTGAAGAGAAAACAGTTCAGCAAGGTATGATGAATAACGGTATCAGAACTGCAAAGACATTGTCGGTTCAAATTATATATACCATTCAAATGAAATTTAAATAAAAATTAAATGCAGGAGACAATCTAATTGAAAATTGATTGTTATAGATTATGTGCTTCCATTGGTATTTGTCTTTGTTCATAAAAATGACTCTGTATATTACCTTGGTGAGAGGGTCGGTGACCCTTGGTTACTCCTGATGGCCATGTCCCCCCCCCCCCTCCCTGTATTCTCGTCGTTAACTGTACCGTACCTTGGTGAGAGGGTCGGTGACCCTTGGTTACTCCTGATTGCCCTGTCTTCCTCCCCTGTATTCTCGTATTTAACTGTATCTTACTTTGGTGAGGGGGTCGGTGATCCTTGGTTGCTTCTGATGGCCGTGTCTTCCTACCCTGTATTCTTGGCGATTACTGTTATTCTGTTTCTGTAATTTACCTTTGAGGGAAGGGGAAGGGGTCGGTGATCCTTGGTTGCTCCTGATGGCCTTGTCTCCCTCCCCTTCTCGTCGCTAAACTGTTAGTGTATATTCTGATTCTGTATCTTACCTGGGTTAGGAACTCGGTGATTCTTAATTACTTCTGATGCTCGTGGCCCCTCCCCCTGTATTCTCGTCGTTAACTGTATCTTAACTTGGTGAGGGGGTCGGTGACCCTTGGTTACTCCTGATGGCTGTGTCCCCCTCCCCCTGTATTGTCGTCGTTAACTGTACCGTACCTTTGTGAGGGGGTCGGTTACCCTTGGTTACTCCTGATGGCCCTGTCTCCCTGTCCCTATATTCTCATCCTTAACTGTATCTTACCTGGGTGAGGTCGTTGATCCTTGGTTACTCCTGATGGCCGTGTCCCCCTCCCCCTCCTCCTGAATTCTCGTCTTTAACTGTATCTTACCTTGGTGAGGAGGTCGGTGACCCTTGGTTACTCCTGATGGCCGTGTCTTCCTCCCCTGTATTCTCGTCGTTGACCGTTATTCTGACGACAGGCGAGCCTCCTGTTTCCACATCAGACATCTCCATATTTCGATTTAGGTCAACCAAGAATTTTAATAAATAGTTTCCGAAAATTCCTAAAAAATTTCCAAAAAAGAAATATTCCTCCAACTTTCAGGTCATTTTTTCGGTCTGTTTTGTGACCTTATCCGACTAAGTCATTTTAGAAATTAATCCAGTTTTATGGACACGCGCGCGCCATGGTATTGTTAATGTTTTGAAATCAGCGTGTGGAAATCACAACATGATATAAACCTTGATTTACCTTAATGGGCCATATCATTTTAAATGGCCAGTACTCGACGAGATTTCGAAATTAATGTCAATACACCATCAGGTAAAAGCCTCCTTTCTTAGCATTAAACATTTAGTGCCAGTATTATAAATTTAAACATGGAGGATAGGGGTGAATAATTATTGATTGGTCATTTAAATTATCATTACAGATATGTAGAGTCTTTGCAGAAGCAACATAACTAGTATACAAGTATACCCTTTAAAGTACAGTGTGAAAATGTTTCATGAGTGCACATGAGGAGGAAACCAAATTGAAGTATCGTATCGACTCGGATTCGGATTCAGCGCTCATCTGATAGAACATTGTTTTTAAGCAAGGCAAAGTCTCACGCTAAACCATTAATATAGTGATGTGCATCCCTAGATAAAACACCTTTGCACTTTTCAATGGTATGAAAGGGCTTGCGGTTACTTTGGAATGAACTTCATTACCGAAAAAATAAAAACTATTATAATAAACACTCATCTAGGAAATGTAAGATAACTCCAACATGAAGGATATGGAGATAACGAACAGTATTCAATCTCAAAATCCATAAAATAAAACAAAAGAGGAGCAGAGCAAAGACGGACCTCCAAAACATCAGAGGTGGGATCAGGTGCCATGGAGGAGTGAGCATCCCCTGCCGACCGGTCACACCCGCCGTGTGCTCCTTGTCATGATCGGGAAA